GAGGCAAGACCATCCACAGTATTCATGAGCAGATAGAAGTGTGGCTTGCTCTTGGCCACACTTGAAAGCAGGTTGGTGCACACAGCACGAGTCCGGTCCCCAGTTAGCAGGCTTTCTGCCAGAGCTCCTCAGCTCCAGTGAACTGGCATCTCCTTGAACCCCCACCGCTGTGTGGATGAAGAGCACACACAACTACAGGGCCCCTCAGGCACTCATCTCTAGAGCGTGTGGGTCTGTTCCCAGAAGGGGCCCCTGTCTGTTGCCCAGAAGTGTGTCTCTGAATACATTTAGAAGAATGAAGAAGGAGAGGAGACAGTTCCAGGCAAATTCAAACAGAACTCATCCAGTAGAGTGACCACAGCCCTGTTTTCTGAGCAGTCTCAATCCCGAATCTCTGAGCCAGGGGCCAGATTGTAGGAGAGAAAGGAAATCTCTTCCTAGGTTTTCTCCCCTGATCTGTCTTTTAAGGAGAAGTTTGAGTTTTTCCTGAAGTAAAAGTCCGTGTGTGTGTGTGTGTGTGTGTGTGTGTGTGTGTATGAGAGAGAGAGAGAGAGAGAAAACCCACTCCATGGCACTTACTGATAATGGAACCCCTTCCTGATTCTCCTTTTGGGTTGGCATTAGGAGTTTCCATCTTTTTTCACAGGTATCGTGTATACTTTAGTAGACGATTGAGAGATGTTCTACCAGGGGCGATTAAGCAAGGTGCCATTTTAAACTGGAAATTACACATTTATAATTTAATATAGAATAGCTGGCCTTCAATTTAGAGGTTCCCCCTAAGATCACAGGATCTTTGTAGCTAAAAGGAATTTAGTCCTTCCCTCACCCCACCAATGCCTCTTCACCCCGTTACCACCCTACTGTCTGGGGCTAGGCTTCCTAATGAAGGTCACCTCTGTGAAAATCAGTAGCATCCTCCTTGGCACCAGGCAATCTGGTTATGTACTTTGACCAGTTTTTTGTCTGGAAGACCTAAAATTATCCTGCTATGAGTCCTAGTATCTTTTTCTTGCATGCCAATTATCTGTGGCTTTGCTACTTCTCCTTATGCATATTTCCTGGCCATGTCACTGCTCCTGCTACATTCACAGTTGAGTAAAAGGGTAGAATCCTGCACTGATTCCATAGCAGGGACCAGATCCCAGAGTTTTACCTCCATGTCCTAAATTGCTAGCAATCAAAGACCCTAACTTGTCCCGAGAGAGACTGAGATCAGATGGATCCACATGGAATCCTGAGGGGAAAAAATAAGGACTTTTTAATACCTTTGTCTTCCTCTTTCTTCATCCTTTATCTTTCTTCATGCCTGACAGGTGTCCTGTTTAGGCCACAAAGAAGATGCATGCTCAGGTTTCCTTAGCTGATCTGTGTCATCCTGACAAGAACCACAGACATCATCATTAATCTCTTTGTCCTAATTCCAGGCCCTTCTAGCCTTCTGTCCTCTCAGCATTCTAATGCCCATCATCCCTTAGGGATGGGGCAGTTTACAACCGCTTACCCCATACCACACCAGAATGTCTGAGCCTTGTAAGGTGGACTTTAGGCTCAACCAATTTGCCCCACCTCTGCTGTTGCTAATAGAGGCACCCTATTCTGATACCATGCTCGATGTGAAGCTTCTCCAAAAGGTTTACAGGGCTGAGCTATACCCTGAGATGGGATGGGATGTACTTCAACTAGATTTCCAAAAATCATTCAATCATCATATTGCCCTGTCCCTGGGTTTGACAGCCAATGTGAGGCAGAGAGTATGGGAATGCCTTTTCACTCCCTCAGCCAGAGTTCTGGCTTCTCCTTGTGTGTCCTCCCCAGCCACATCCTCCCCTGCGTTAGGATTGATTTTAGAAACTCAGTGGTCACATCCTCCAGGCCATGGCTCTTAGTCTTCCCATCCAAGCCTTTTTAGAATTCCAAACAAATGAACAATATCGACAGGTGTCTCAAGCACATCGCTCTGGCAAAGCAGAAGCATTTTACTTTTAGACTGTTGTGTTGGCTGTAAATCCATTCATAAATGTGATCAGCTCCCCCGAAGCAAGGAGGACTGTTGGGAGCAGATTCATAATATAAATAGAACCCACTGCAGGGGGCGTGGGGGGGGGCAGAGAGAGGGTTATAGGAATGAAAAATGTATCTGTTAAAATTTCAAAAATATGACCTCACTGAAAGAATTTTTGACACCAAGGTAGATTCTATAGACATTTTAAAAACCTCTCCTGCAAATCATACATTGCAAGAAACCATAAATGGTGTTTCACCTGACCCTAAGGACAAAAGTAGCTATTGTGAGCTTCTGAGGCTGGGAAAAGACACACAAGGAGCCCAGGGTTCAGAGCAATGGCTGGAGTGTCTTACAAAAGCCCTGCAGGATCTGACTTTCTCTGTGAATCACTGCTGTGGGGTCCACCGCCCTTTGTTGGCACGGCCTGTGTCAGGCAGGTGGATTCCCTGTGCTGCCACAGTGCCCTTCTGAAGCTAGATCAAATGCACCAGAATGAAAGGTTTGGAAAGCAGACGCTTGTTAGGGCATCAGGAAAAGCAGAGATGATCCTAAGGAGGCAGAGAAGAAGAGGGGAAAGCCACTTTCTGCACAAATATCCCGAAACAATAAAGAGCAGGGCTGCCCACAGCAGCATCACCACGACCGTGGGGCTGGCACCTCAGACCCGGATCCGAGGAGCCTGGAAATCCCGTCTCAGAAAGTTCAAACCCGCCCTAATTGGAAGCACTTCTGACAAATAAAATGCCAGAGGAGAGTGCTGCCACTTTTCTTTTTTTTTCTTTTTTTTTTTTTTTAAAGATTTTATTTATTTATTTGACAGAGAGAGACACAGCAAGAGAGGGAACACAAGCAGGGGGAGTGGGAGAGGGAGAAGCAGGTTCCCCGCAGAGCAGGGAGCCCGATGCGGGACTCGATCCCAGGACCCCGGGACCATGACCTGAGCCGAAGGCAGTCGCCTAACCAACTGAGCCACCCAGGCGCCCCACTCTTTTTTTTTCAAATCATAAATTACCCTAGTTTCCTGGAAAAGTATGCCCAGACAGACTTATTGCCCCCTTGAAAAAGCCAGAGAGACCTGGTCTTTAAGACTCTTGCTTGAAGGTGTAAAAAAATGTCTAACCATTCAGATGTCCAGAATCTGGGGGTGAAAATTGCCACAAATGATCAATGATTGCCTACTCTCAGAGGTCAGACCCCCTGGGAGTGAGCCGGCTGAAGCTATTAAAAGAGCCAGTTCTCATTGTGATAAAGCACATCCTGGCAAAGCCACAAAAAAAGAAAATTACAGCAATCAATACAGATCAAAATGAAAACCGGATGAAGGTTTCAGCCAAACTTGTCTTCACTTCTATAATGCTATAATGGGTTAACTTTTGGGTGCTGATATCAGCACAATTTGCAGATCAAGGACATTGAATATGGGAGTCCAAGTGGGGTAGAAATTTAATTGAAACTACAGCAAATCCTTGACTAGGGTTAATACTGCCTCTCGCGCTTGCCAACTTCTCCCATAATTGAGCTGCGTTTCCGAAGTGTCTGTCCCTTCCAACAACTTGTACGTACCTCGGCTCTGCAGCCCTGCTTGATATATTTAACAGACGATATTCCACGGATAATCTATAGCTGTACTGTATAGACTTTGAAAGAGTTCACAGTGAGGCTTCCTATAAGGAATTCTGCTTTACCATGTTCAATCTTACCGGGACTAATCCCATGGAATTTGCCAGAGAACAGATAAAATCCAGGAAAGATAGCCTACCCACAGGATTCTCAGCCAAACAGCAAAGTCGGTGTGGCAGGAAGAATAACGCTTCCTCTCCCAAAATCTCTGTATCCTGATCCCGGAAACTGTGGATTTGATACCTTATATGACAAGAGGGAATTTACAGGTGTGATTAAATTCAGGATCTTGAGATGAGGAGAGTATCCTGAGTTAGTCAGGTGGACCCAATGTAATCAAAAAGTCCTTATAAGAGGGAGGCAGGAGAATCTGAGTCAAAGAAGGAAATGTGACAATAGAAGCAGATGTCGAAATGATGATTGCTAGAAGGGGGTCACAAGACAAGGAATGAAGGCAGCTTAGACGCTAGCTAGAAAAGGCCAAGTACGAACGCTACCCTCGAGCTTCCAGAAGGAACACAGCCCTGCCAGCATTTTGATTTTACCCCCGTGAAACCTAGTTTGGACTTCAGATCTCTAGAACTAGAAGAGGGTACACTTGTGTTGTTTTAAGCCGCTCAGTGTGTGGAACCTTGTTATAGCCACAGTCAGCAACGTGTGTCTTTAACACTCGTCCCTTCTCCTCATTTTCTCTGCCCAACATCAAATGAAACATCCAATTCAATCAAGGTTTCTGGAATGACCTTTTTTCTCTCTTTTAGGGATAACTCCCTCACAACCCCATTCACTCTCAGCTGCCATGATGTCATAGATATCCCCTCGGAGTACTTGCATTTCCAAACAGGACTGGGGAGAATGTATTTTCTATCAGGGAAAAAAAGTAACTGCTGTTGAGTAGCTACTGAAGCCAGGCACCATAGTGGGTATTTTGGACCTATTCTATGTCATCTTTCCAACCTTGTGAGGTATCACTCCCCGCCAACCATGTTGTGACTGGGGGTCCCAAGGTTCAGAGAAGGCAAATCACTTATACAAGATGAATGAGTCAGCAATGCTGGGACTCAATGGAGCCCAAAACCATAGGACTCCAAAATTCTAGTTCTGTCCATTAGAACATACTGCTTCTGCCTTACTTATACAAAACAGTAAAATGCAAACAGCAGAACGTCTGCATCAGTTTGGAGGGAATAATGGTTGGGGAAGTGGTTGGGGAAGCAGGCACCAGTCCCTGCAAAGATGAAAGTGAGGGCACCGTCTGACTCTGGTGAAGACCTCTTTGGCAGGTTGTTGTGGACTCTCACCGCTACGTCTTCTCTTGGGGACAAAACTGTACCGACGTCACCATTCCTGATCGTTTCCACTCTCCTTGTAGGGGTATTTGCCTTCGGACTTTTTGCTACTGACATTTTTGTAAACGCCGGGCAGGTGGTCACGGGGCACCTAACGCCATACTTCCTGACGGTGTGCAAGCCCAACTACACCAGTACAGACTGCCGGGCACACCACCAGTTCATCAACAATGGGAACATTTGTACTGGGGACATGGACGTGATAGAAAAGGCTCGGAGATCCTTTCCCTCCAAACACGCTGCTCTGAGCATTTACTCCGCCTTATATGCCACAGTGAGTATTCCAGTCCCGCTGTCACTCCCAAGATGAGCGTCTGGCTGGGATGTGAGTCTCTCTGCCCTCCTCACCTTCATTCTCTCATCGCTGTCACTTAGAGTGTTACAGGAAACATGTGACAGCATGTTTCTCCTGTACAGCATCATGCTGTTGCCCCCACACCCCCCTACCCAACATCCCAGGGTAATTGCTGACCTGTCAGAGGCTATTAATTTGGCAATGTCGATAATCTCTTAGTCAAATCTTCCCATTTTACAGAGGCAGAAACGGAGGCCCAGAGAATAGCTGAGAGCCCCCAGTTGGAGCTGGGACCCAGGCTCCTGGCACCAAGTCTGGGATTCTCCCACTGCCCACAACGACACTCCTTGCCAAAGTTTTCATTGCCTTCAGAACAGCACATATTTCTCACACCTGCCTACAAATTTGCAGGTGTGGGCCTCCATGCACATGGTTGCCTGGGTAGTGCAGCAGGACCGGGACAAAAACACAGCTTTCCTCTGCTCCGCCCGACACTCCTCCTCTTCATTTAACCAGAATGGATGGATGATCCTACGTGACCCCCAACACCCAAAAGTTCACTTCTCACTGCTCCCCAAATCATACAGGCTTTGACTGCCCCCACTAGGGTGTAATGTTCTCTTTATACTTTTTGCTTTCATTACAGAAAAAAACCTGAAGTGTGTCCCACATCTTTAAAATACAAGAAGAAACAATGGTGTCCCTTTTATTTTCCTACTCTTTAATTGCATCCATTCTGGAAATGACTTCATCTCCCCTTTCTCTGGCCTATGCTTCCTTAGAACCAGGAGTATAGAAGTATAGAAAGGATCAGCTCAAAGGCTGGGTATCCTATGCCTTAACCTGTGGAAGAGCAACTATTGGTCAAAAACACACCTTTTCCTTACTTGAACTTATGTTCCAGGTATGACTAGTCTAGTGATTCTCAATGAAAGGGAGGGGAAGGAGAAGGCAGAGGAAAGACCCCTTTAAAATAATGCATTCTTCCCAGAGGTTCTGAGCAAGACTCACCCTACTCCCCAGGGGAGCGGGTTCCCACCATCTCCAGGGAGAGTAACTGTGCTCTCTGCTGAGAGTCTGCCTGTGATCGGAGCGTGTCCCTGATGTCGCCCGGATGCACACATTCGGGATGGAGAGAAGGTGACTGACTACAGGTCTGTTCTATTCAGTTCAGTTTAAAATAAATTGCTGAATATTCTCTTTAAAACAAGGGTTCCTATGTGCCAAGTTCACAGGATCACATCTGTAGGATGAATTTGTCAGCCACCAATTACCCAAAATTAGCTTTCCTAGTTATTCCTTTTAGGTATACTTTTTAATGAATATGTGTAAAAATGATTTCATCTGGCCCCCACTAAGGAAACATGCATGTAGATAATAGAGAAGCTCAACTTACAAAACAGATCCATTGTAGCTTGGTAAGCCTTCTTTGCTTTATGATAGATAGATAGATAGATAGATAGATAGATGATAGATAGATAGATAGATAGATAGATAGATAGATAGATAGATGATAGATTGATCGATCAGCAGGCCACATATTTTTTAAACAAAGAAAGTCCTTTCAGGCATTCAGCATATTCTTCAACTTTTCAAAATATCCATTTGTTCTAAATTATCTAGAACCAAATTTTATATGAAGCAATGTATTCTTGAACCCTTTTCTGTATATTGATCAAACTCAAGTCATTGCCGCGTGACATTGTATAATACAATTATGAAAATAAATCTGTTACTCATAATAATCGATTGTCTCATCAAATGAGATATAAATTTCTTTTGGGTAAAAAGAAGTCTGCTCACTCAGAATAGATGCTGCTGTAGCACTTATTTTCAAGGATTCAGATATAATCCAATTCAAATCATGCCCCACAGACGGACTATAATCAGATAAACCCTGATACAAGATTCCAATTGTGTGAACACTTTCTGAGCCCCTATTATGTGTGAAGTGCTTTCAGAAACCACTCAACAAGGATCTCCTAAGTGCTAGTTAATACTGTGAAGAATACTAAGCATTAGCTCATGCTTAATAGATTATAATCTTATAGGAAGGATTTATGAAGAGTATACCTAAAAAACACAAAAACATAAAATACTCAAGTTACACATATTTAGTATAGATGTTAAGTGACATTTCCTAGACGGCATTGGAATGGTGTCATGATGTGCTCTCATTTGTGTAACCGATCTAACCAGTTCTCCTCAGGGCATCTATCACACATAATAGAGAATCCCGTCTGCCTGTATTCACACCACCGTTGTGAATTGTGAACTTAGGAAATTAAGTTTCCGTGGTCATATCGTAAAATGCATCTATTTCAACTGGTCAGTGCTCAGGCAATACAAACACACTATACACTATGAGTATTAGCATCCTATTTCAGAGTTGCAGACTCACTTGTCAAATTTTTAAAGAAATTATGGAATGGATCAGCAATGCCCTCTAGTGGTTTCTCGTAACCATTGCCAAAGGTGATTAACGACTTCTTTGAAAGAGGCGCTAGGCCCTGAGACACACATTTAATAACAGAGCCTCTGAAACTTTAAGAGTCTTGCCCAACTCCCCACAATGGACAAGAACAGCCTACATCTCAGGTGTCATGAATTGCATCATCCTTTCCTCAGGTCAGGTCTTCCCAACCTTTCAGATGTCATGGGACCCATAGAAAGGCTCAATATTTTAAAACACGCTAGAGTAAATGCATGGAAAGAGCCCACCACAGCTGTTCCAAGGAATGTGAGAATCCGTTTCCCAGCGCAGCTAAAACCTGCTTGTGTGACACACTCACTTGGAAGTTCTACTTCAGTCAATCAACTAACCAGTCAATGCTTTTGTATCTGTGGCCTGCAACTGCGAAGAATCAGCTAGAACTCCGGGGGACACCAAAAGTGAAATGGATAGCCACTCACCTACCTGGTCTTCTCTTCCATAAAATTCATTCTCACAGAAGGTTTATTTGGTCTCTGAGATTCGATATGGGTTTCCCAATACCCCCAAATGATTCTTGAATTTGTTGCATGAAAACTGCATGCTCTAAAGCTGATCTTTATGCTGCAGCCATTCTCTGCACCGCTGTTTCTGTTTACGGGTCCCCTGGAATACAGAACAACATGCCTCGTCTGTGGCTATTGGGGTTCTTGCTGCACTACTTTCCTACCCAAATTCTTCCCTAAGTGACGTGGTGGAATTGCTCAAGCAGTCAGTGTGTCCCCTCTGGCACGGCCCCGTTTGCCCATGCGTGGTACACGTGCGTGCACCTGTGGGTGCCACCTACAGGCAGGCGGCCTCTCGCTCACTGGTGTCCGTCCTGTTCCAGATGTACATCACAAGCACAATCAAGACAAAGAGCAGTCGGCTGGCTAAACCCGTGCTGTGCCTGGGAACCCTCTGCACCGCCTTCCTGACAGGCCTCAATCGGGTCTCTGAGTACCGGAACCACTGCTCCGACGTGATTGCGGGCTTCATCCTGGGTACTGCTGTAGCCCTGTTTCTGGTGGGTCGGCTTCCCTCTTTCTGGTGTCTTCCCCTCTCGTGCCCTTTGAAAGGCTGGCCGGGGTCACGGCGAGTCAGGTCAGCCAGACCACAGTGTAAGTCCATGCTCCTCCTGCCCCAGCCTTGTAGGTGGCCATTTTTTCCCCAAGGAGTATGCATCCTTTTGCCACAAAAAGGACTTCTTTTTTTTTTTTTGTAGCTTTGAAATGCTCTTTAATTTGCGAAGGTATATTTAATTTTTATTATTATTATTTTATTAGCATATAATGTGTTATTTGTTTCAGGGGTACAGGTCTGTGATTCATCAGTCTTACACAATTCACAGCGCTCACCATAGCACATACCTTCCCCAATGTCCATCACCCAGCCACCCCATCCTTCCCACCCTCCCAAACCATAAAAGACTCTTAATCTCAGGAAACAAACTGAGGGTTGCTGGAGGGGAGGGCAAAAAGGACTTCTAAAGTACCTTTTCTTTCGGGAATCTGATTGCATATTCCCCATGGGGGTCAGGAAGAGGAAGGCCTGGGGCAGATGGCTTGCCCCACTTCCTTTAACACTGGGCTAAGAAGTGAGGCCTGGCTGACGTAATTTGGCGTACCCTCAGAGCAGTGTTCTTTAAATATTTGTGCAGAAGGTATTGAGAGAAGCTAAGTGCAGAAGGTATTGAGAGAAGCTAAGTGTTGCCTGAGGGAAGAACAGAAAACAAAGACTGTGGATGGAAGCAAGACAGCCCCTTCTCAGACATCCCCAGAGATTCAGCTCTTGTCCACACCTGTATATCCCACTCAGCAGTATGAAAACCCTCCTCCAGCCACACCCAGACTTTCTAGAAGGCTTCTGTTACCATCTAAACATGGCTCTTGGGCGTCTTATTTCCACTCCAGATAGCTTCTCAACCACATATAATAATCTTTCTGGAGAAAAGTTTTAGTTAATATCGTTTTCTCCATATCTTGACATTTCTGATGATTTTAGTTCTTCAAAAAGCTGGTGGCCTTGCCACCTGCTCAACTAGGAAATCTTTTCATCTGAGTTGGATTGGAAGTGAAGAGGCTAATTTTTATTTTTTGTCTTTTTATAGTTTTACTGAAGTATGCTAGGCAGATCATAAATTGCACATGAAGTGTACAATTGGATCAATTTTGACATACAGATACATCCTTCTCTCTCTTCCTTCCCCTCATTCCCAAGCAACCACTGATCTTTCCGTCACTCCATCACTCTGTATGAGTTTGTCTTTTGTAGGATTTCGTATGAATGGAATCATAGAGTCTATATTCCCTTTTTTTTTTTTTTAAGATTTAGCCTGCTCTGGTCCAAAGCCCCCACTAAGATTGGCATCACACTTAGATGGATTTCATGGTCCCATGACCTAATTCTCCCTTGTGCAATGCCTCCTTCTTGCCCTTCCCAACGTACAAAATACACATATGCCTCTCCCAACCTCTAACTCTGAGTTTTCCAACTTTTTTACCTGCTGAGATACAGAAAATGCTCACGTTTACTCAGAACACTGATCTCTCAATGGAGATTAGGAAGCTCCATTTTAATTCAAAATTATTTTTAATGGATCCAGGCTTTCTTTCTAAAGCAAAAGATGGAGGACTTCAATGCAAATTGTCTGTATGAAGCTGCAGGAAAAATGGTGCTGAGACGATCCTGAGATGTTGATATCCCCTAAGGGATATTTCCCACTGACTGCTTTCTAAAAGAGGAAAGGAGTACTGGAGGCTTCAGGAGAAGAGAGGGTTTTCAAAGACAGATCAGCAGTTCAAAAATGAAGGCTTGGGCTCAAAAGCCAAACAGTTGTGCTGTCCCTCAGTCCTGGACCGAGCTTCCCCAGCTAGAAAGAGCGGTGCTCACTGTCCCAAGCTACTGATGAGGTTTTTATGGGATGAAATCTGTGAAAACCTTTGCATTTTCTAAGGACCCACATACAAATTCTGCTTTTGTATTAAACTTGTTTTTTTCTCAATAACTTGCAGCCCTGTTTCCTACTGCTCAATTACTGTTTGCTTTGTTACTAGCTTCCCAATTGATGGTCAATGTCAAAATTTGTTTTCTACAAATGGTCTTTATGTAAGAGCCAGAACCACTACCAAATGGCTCTGGCAGGAGACAGACCCCACGGTCTCCCGCTGTTATCTGCGTGTGCCCATGTACACACCTCACATGCACTCACACTGAGCTTGGAAATGGGTCTTAGAAGAGACTGGAAGCCCTCCAAAGTGGAGCCTTGGAGAGGAGACTGGGAGACAGGAGTCTGAGAGCAGGAGCATACTTGCAGCATATGTGCATTCTTGTTTTATGTTTCCAATGAAAATGAAATGGAGGGGAGTGGACCGTTAACTGAGCAATCACTACGTGCCCTACCCTTTATATCCACCAAGTCACATGCTCCTGGGACAAGCCCTGCTATATTCTTATCCTCACTTTCTAGATGAAGAAAGTTAGGCTCAAGAATAAGTAACTTGACCGATGGCCATCCAACCAATAAGCCATAAATCTGACCTGGGTCTTCCCATCTCCAGAGCTCCTACACCTCCCACTTCCCCCATTTCTTTAATGGAGGTGGTTTAAGCAGAGCTGGAGAGTGAGATGGAAGAAAGCCAAGTAGAGAACATTTATATAAATGTTCCACAGGGTTTGAAGAGTGACAGGAAAGATTCAAAGATCAAGGGTGCCAGTGGCTCAGTCAATTAAGCATCTGCCTTTGGCTCAGGTCATGGTCTCAGGGTCCTGGCATAGCTTCCTGCTCAGTAGGGAGCCTGCTTCTCCCTCTCCCACTCCCCCTGCTTGTGTTCCTGCTCTCACTCTCTCTCTCTCTCTCTGTGTCAAATAAATAAATAAAATCTTAAAAAAACAAAATTAAAATTCCTTTAGAAAAAAGATACTGAATATAGAAACAAAGATGCTGAACAAGCGAAAAGAGAGCATGGAAAGAGACAGATAAACTCTATGAGGGCAAAAGAAGCAGAGAAGATGGTAAAGACAGACTCAGTTATGAAGGGGGCCTCAGTAGGAAATAAAGAAAAGTGAGTAGTAATTTAGAGGGAGAGTATTTTAATGGAAGCAATAGAAGAAAAATGCCACTGAATTATTTAATCTCAAGCAAACAGTAGTCATATAAATTAAGGATGGTCATCTTGGGCAGGAGGTAAAGACTAACTCACACTGATTATTTGCTATTAGTTTGGCACTTAAGAAGAGGCAGAAGAGTATAGTGTATGATCAAGGGGCTACGGAGTTAAAAATCTCTATGTGACCTTAGGCAAGTTATCTAACTTCACCGTGCCTCTTTATCTAGGTTGGAGATGATAATAGTACCTCCCTTGTAAGATTGTTGAGTGGGTTCGATGCAGGAAAGTAAAATTCTCAGGACAATGCCAGCCACAGAGTGGCCCTCAGTAAATGTTACCTGTTATTATGAGGTGGTTTACATTCATTGTGTCTTTTAATCACTACAGATCTGTGAGAGAGGTGTTGTTATTTCCATTTTACAGGTGGGGAAAGAGGCTCAGTGGGGTGGGTTGATTATCACTGGCCACGTGGTGATCAGTCAGATGCTTCATCAGCCTTTAGAGGTGCTCAGCAAACACCTAGACAGTGCCCAGGGTCTTTGCATGGTCCCTACCCACTGGCTCAAAGGGAAAAAGTCACGATGGCAATGACATTCTAGGGGAAAGGCCTGCCACCCTCCCAGATGGCCAGGCATTGATGGCTGCAGTCTGACCCCAGTCTTTTTTCCCCTCATCCTGCAGGGAATGTGTGTGGTCCATAACTTTAAAGGAACACAAGGATCTCCTTCCAAACCCAAACCCGAGGATGCCCGTGGAGTACCCCTCATGGCTTTCCCAAGGATAGAAAGTCCTCTGGAAACCTTAAGTGCACAGGTATAGTAAAATGGTTTTAGCAAAACAAACCCACAGGCTCAAGGCCTGTTAGCTTGGGAAGTAAACTCATCAATTTCTCTACTGGAAGCAGGATACCACTGAATCCACTCAGCACTAATAAAAATCTGATGTAAAGGTTTTAAGAACTTCAAGCTTCTCTCAGTTAGTCCTGTATTTATTCTGGGGCTTGGCAATCATGAATCCTCCGGAAGTCCTTAGTAATGTCTAACTGAAACCCCAGCTGCTTTAAGACAACTTGACCTACTACATAATACCACACTTCTGAAATTTGGACCAATTATGTGAGAGGCCAATTTGATTTATTAACTAGGACAATATTTGGAAAGAGAAAAGTTTTATTACATTCAATGATAGATATAGACTAGAAGCACTTTTGAAACGTGATGACTAAGTGTCCTTTGGGATCTATTTTGATGACTACAATCAAAAAATTCAATGCAACCCTACTCACTGGTCTCTTATTTACATCAGGGCCTCGTTTCATGTCAGATAACAGAAATAATTAGCCACCTAGTCCTTGTCCTCAAAGAACTCACAGATAATCAGGCAGGTGGATATAAATGAGTAATCATAATAGGGCATGCTGAATCAGAGGTCCACAAAGTGCTTTGTGAATACAAATGAAGGAAAAAAAATGTGTTGTCTGAGAAGACAGGAAAAGCCATGGAGACTTGCCACCTGAAGGTAGCCTTAAAGATGGTTTCCAGCACTTATTTTTGCCTGGGGTAGTTGCTAGGTGCTTCACAAATACATCCTTATCTCAACAAACACCTTTTAAATTGGTAGGAGAATTCCCAATTTCACAGATAAAAAATAGGAATCTGAAAATAGCAATATTCAATTAACATGCCCGAGCCCACATAGCTTGCCAGTGGAAGAGCTGAGCTGAGTTGTTCTTGAGGCAGACAGAGAATGGGGATAACCAATACCAAAACAGGGTTTTCACTGGCAAGCCACTTTGCTAAAATGTCTGTAATAATTTATCTTGAAATCTCCTTTATATTTATATTCTTACAAAACCATTTTTGTAGATAGTATGATGGAAAAGCAAATCACTTTCCACTGGAATTATCATGTACTTCATATCATGAGAATACAAAACAGTATTTTTCCCTATTTAAAGATTATTGGCGGGGCGCCTGGGTGGCTCAGTTGGTTAAGTGACTGCCTTCGGCTCAGGTCATGATCCTGGAGTCCCTGGATCGAGTCCCTGGATCGAGTCCCGCATCGGTCTCCCTGCTCGGCAGGGAGCCTGCTTCTCCCTCTGACCCTCCCCCCTCTCATGTGCTCTCTCTCTCTCATTCTCTCTGTCTCAAATAAATAAATAAAATCTTAAAAAAAAAAAAAGATTATTGGCTATCAGACATCTCTCTGAGATGAACTGTCCTAGTCATATTTCTTTTCACATTTAATGAAGTCTTCCTAATTTTATTAACAAGAAAAACAAAACAATAAAGCTATTTCTATCTTGGGAAAACTAGGGCTCTACATTAAACCCAGTGCCAAGTATTTTGTTTGTTTTCCTTTAACCTGTATTAAGGTGAAATTTTTGACTTGGTTTAATGAGAAAGAACATACTGAAAAATGTATTACTGGTTTATTGATATACGGCCTGTTGATACAGGTTGAATGATAAAGTGGCTCAATCGTGATCCCTTGTAATGAAACCGTGAGACAGTCTCTCTGGTGTTCCCTATCTATTTATGTTACTGTACCTGATAAGATCAGAGTGGTTCCCTCTACTTTTGAGGTGAAGCAACTGAAGACAAAGGTGAGTTTTAAAAGCAAACAAATGTTTACTGAGTTCCACAAACATGGCAGTGTCTGTGTTCTTTTAAATGCTGACTACTTTACCTTGAACGTCCTGATTTAAGGACACCCCCTTTCAAACCCAGGCTTCTGCCCAACACTGCTCAAGCACTACGCTCTGTTGGAAACCTTCTCCAGACTTCTGTCTTCTCCCTATTAATTATTAGTTGACCATCCAGGTCAGAGACATCTAGGCCATATTTTGGGGGATTCCACTTACATTGAAAAATGAAGTGTCAAACGGAGTTTCAAAAACTGATCTTCCATAAGATAGATAAAAGATTCCTTCAAAATATATATTATTATTCACTACAGGCAGTAGTTGAACTTCTTTCAAATCTGTCCATGTATCTTTATTTCCATGTCTCTCACCCCATCTGATTATAGTGAGGTCTTTTCTGAATACACAACCCTTTCTGTGATTGTCCTGCCCAATGGATGCCAACAGTGTCCCTTCAAATCTGCCCCTCCCCGCCAAGAACTTGGAGATCTTTGAGGATCTGAACACTATGAACCATGTCTTATTTACTCTCCATATTTCCTGGCATTCACTAGATGTGAAACAAATGTTTGATGGATAGAGGCAAGCCAGAACCAAAACCTGAACTAAACACTTTAGATAAAACCAAGAACCTAAAATCAGACCACCATCGCTATCTGAATCTCCAAAGAAAATAGAAATTAATAAGAAACAACAGGACTTCAGCAGGCTAGTCAAAGTAAAGCTACAGGAAGCTGGATAGAGAGTTTACTTCTCAAGTGATGCCTTCCACACTGACTATAGAAGACTCAAGTAACAAAGCACCTACTTTTAGTATCAAATGTTTCCACGTGTAGTTAGGATGATTATACTCTTTATTTGTTGGCCCAGAAAAGAAAATTAGCATTTATTGCAAGCAATCACATTCATTCCTCACAACAATTCTGCAGTTGGTATTTTTAATTCTGTTTTGTAGATGAAGTAAGTAAAGCACAAAGAATTTAAGAAACATGCCCAGGGTCACCAAGTCAAAATTAAAACAGGCCCATCTAAGTCTAAACGCCCTATTGAATGTACTATACCACACAGCCTGGTATGACATTCAAGGAAAATTCCATTTGGAAATCTGCATCTCTTAGCATTCAAAGGAAAAATGCAGTAGGGGATAGCGTGTTTGAACTGAGCTACCGATCTTCCAAAATAAATATGCCCTATGTTTTCACCTGGAGGCAGGAACTCTCTCTGCAACCCCAACACCTGTGTTTTCTATTAGAAGATGGCTCCTTTGTAATTTCTGGGATCGAACCATCTTCCCAGGAAGAAGAATTTTGAGGAACTGAGAGAAAGTATGAACCTTTCTTCAGGGCATGCATTCATACATGTGAAATCCACCCCACTGTTCAAGATACCTCAAGGAGAAGACTGGTTGGGGAGGGGACCTGGTCACCCTCCTTTTCTTCCTCCCAAGAACCTTCTTTCTTTCCCTTTGTCCACATGGAGCCCCCAGAGCTCCAGCACTTTTTCTTCCTCTCTAAAACATCAACTTGGATTTGAATATTTGTCTTCTGTATTCCCCTTAGCATAGTTGATTGAGACAAGGTACATTTTCTAAAATCTTTCCCAAGTACTGAAGAAAACCCAAAAAGTACATAATTATAGAATCCAACAAACCAAAAATGGTCAGGTTTCCAAAGCATGATTTTATGGTCCTATTGAGTGAGTGTGATCTCACAGAGACCCCATTCCAGGAACCCACAGAGTGACTGTGATCCTAAAAAGACGAGCATGGAATTATCCGTGTTCTGCACCTGAGCAGTCACCCTTAGTGTTGAGCAATTGTGTGCCTGTCAGACATAGTTTATATTAACAAAGAAATGAAGTTAGAGAGGAAACATTTATATTAACCTATTTGGGTTGGTATAAAGTTTCTCAGTGTCTCCAGATTTGGGGAGGGGGAGACATTTTATTTCTTTAGCAGAAAAAGAATCCAATTTATGTTGACACCCAGATGCCTGGAACCTTACTCCAAATGGTTCTAATTCACCAATTCTGAGGTAAAAGAGTATTTATATTTAAGAAAATATTCCCAGAGGAATTCTAATGCCCCCCCCCCCCCCCCCCCCCGCCGCCTGGATTTCAAACTAGTGATACTACAGACTTTGTATTAAATAGAAAAAAAGACCTGGAAAGTTAAAGAGATCTGCCCAAAGTCACCCATTTAGTTACCTTCAGCTGTTGAATTACTTTATCTTTACCACTTAGTCTCTAATGGAATCTTATAAACATGTAAATGACCAAAGTATTGACCACAGAAGTTTTTTCAAAAAGGAAGCATATTATAAAAGTAAAAACACAAAAGGAAAAGTTATTTTTCACACTATGTCAAGAAATGCATCAAGCTCTAGTTCTCACACATATGGCACATAAAAGTACCTTGAAAAATAAAATACTCCATTTCTAAAATGTATAGTTGAGCTCTCAGGAATATACTGTAAGTCTCTAGTGTGCTGAAAACACACAGGAATCAAGAAACCCATAATAATCAATCAGATCTAATGCCACAGTTTCTTCTATTTCTCATCCCCATAGACTGGGGGTTTTAAGTTCAAACAAAAGAGGAAATGTTTGGTCTGCAAAAGGGGGGTCCTGTATATATAAGTTATATAAACAAGAGGTAGGGGTTGTATAAACAAGCTGTATCTGCAAAAATTTATAGAATTACAAGGAAAAGGGACAAAGCTACAATCATAGTACAGATTGTAACACATTTCTAATTAATAAGCAAACAAAATACAGTGAAGATATAGATGATTAGCAAGGTTGATCTAATGTGCATTATATATAACCCTCAAAACACATGAAAATTATGAAAATAAACCACAGAGAAGTCTCAAGAAAGTGTACAGTATCTCTATCACACAGATTCCATTCTCTAGAAAAAAAATTCAGATACCTACACCTAAAAACAAACAAAAAAACCTATACATTTGAAATGAGTAAACTCATTTCTATATAGCTCATGACTCAAAGAATAAATCATACAGAGATATTTCAAAAATTAGGACTGTTTGATATTAAAACACTACATTAAAACTGTGGGATGCAGCTAAAGTTACTTTGAGATCCTTAAATGTTTCTATTAGAATATGGTTGAGTGAGTATAATATAAGACAATTTTATAGAGACCAAGTTTAGTTGAAGGAATTATTTTTTTTGGTTGAAAAATCAGGGAAGTTTTAGGGTCACCCAGCTGGCTCAGTCGGTAGAGCGTGCGACTCTTGATTTCGGGGTTGTGAGTTCCAGTCCCACACAGGGTGTAGAGGTTACTTAAATAAATAAAACTTTAAAAAATATATATCGGAATATATAGAGATTGGTGTAGAGATTACTTAAATAAATAAAACTTTAAAAATATATATATCAGGGAATATATAGAAGAGGTGACAATTTGAGGGGCCTTGGAAGGCATTCCAGGAAGAGGGAACAGCGTGTGCAAAGCCAGGAGCCAAGAGCACAAGGGCACAGCCTGAGTACGCGCGTGAGTCAGTCAGCCCAGCTCTGAGACTGCATCTGCTTGTCTTTGCAGAATCACTCTGCCTCCATGACTGAAGTCACCTGAGACAACTGAGGTGTCACAAGCTGTTTTTTTATCACCCTCCAATTCGATACTTCAAGACACACAGTTACTTGATGTCAAACTGTGAAGACAAGTATTATGTTTATCTAGTTAGAGGCTAATGTTTTGTACATTTTTTGTATGAGGAAGTGATGTAGCTTGCCCTGATTTTTTTTTTTTTTTTTTTTTTTGGTCAGCTTTAATATATTTATGCCAGAATTTTAAATCAATAAAATTTTCTTCTTGTTCCAGTGTGCACTGAAAAACCACATTGATTCAATGATTGATGTTGTTTTGTGATATTTGTACACAAACCTTCTTTTCTCAGTTTTATAGGCACAGAAATAAAATGAATATAACAATTCACTTTAACCCTTTATGACCATACTTGCTGCCTCCTCCAGAACTTTTGAATTTTAATGAAAGTTAACTTTTGAGTTGCAGGGAGGGCAATGTTGGTTAATGGTAAATCTCAAAATCAATTGTGCAGGAAGAAATATTCCTTTCAAAAAGAACTTTGTGTCCTTGTCTCTTAACCTGTTTTGTATTCTAAGTTAATCTATTAATGAAGTCACTTACTTACATAAACAAGTGGCAGAGACTCTTGGATTTGAAGGGTGTTGGGGCTATATGGTTCTCTCTTCGATAATGGCTTCTCCCATCTCAGAAACTCAAGGTCTTTCTGGAATCATGTCCTTGGGCTGGCAGATGACACTGCAGACTTCTTTCCAAAAAGCAATCTGTACCAGTCTCCCCTGTCAACTCAACAGTTTTATATATTATATTGTATGGACTTTATATGAAAATGAATATTTTACACTTTGCACAGTATTATTTTACGGAAAGGGTATCTCCAAACTAGAGCATCTCCAACCTAGAGCCCCAGGGCATCTCCAATCTAGAGCCCCAGAGCAACAGCTTGACTTTGTGGCTTTTAATTATTCTAGAATTTTAACTGCATCTCATGTTTCTAGCATGGTAATAACTAACGTGTAACTCCTTTGAGAGAAGGAGCTCCCTTGTCTGTACCTATCAGAATGTTTTCTTGACACCTTCCATGTTGGCTCATCTTAGCTTTTTTTTGTACATATTTTTTTTTCTAAAGAGAAGAAAAAAAAATTATCACAAAATGTATTCTGGCTCATGTCGTTTGTTTTACACTTCATCCACTGGGCAAAGGTATTTGAAGAGTCACAATGAAGTGAACTCAATAAATGTTTATACTTTTTAGTTCCATGCCTGCTGAGATAAGTCCTTCTAGAGGCATGACTGGTAGGTCTTTTCAAGGGGGAGTATGTGAGTGAGTGAGTGAGTGAGTGAGTGTGAGGAGGGGGTGTGTGGGTGTGTGTAGGCAAAATTTAAAAATTCTTGAAATTGTTAGGACACTTGGAAACACAGTCTAGATGCCTAACAAGCTACCTTGGTTTTCAGCCTGCCCATATTGAGTTGTCAATAAAAAGTTAGTCATTTTTAGGAACAAAACTTACCTCTGCTAAATAAAACTTTGCCTGATCTCTCATCTCATTCTGACCTAAAGTTATTTACGTTTCCATGCACACACCTTTGCATACATCTTCTCAGTGCTGTCTGGCTGACGAAGTTGGGTAGGCAGGCAAGGAAGGAAAGAGTACTGAAAGCTCTGTTCATCCCAGAGGCCATGCCACATGTCTTCACGGACATAATCTGGTTGTTCTTGGGAGGCAGCCCAGGGAAGCTGGGACGACCCCAAGGCGGCGATCTTTCAGCAGTGGTATTAGAATCCCGGTCTTCCTGATGCCATCATAGAAGATGCCTTTGAACCAAGGCTGCGTCTTTTCAAAGGTTTTTCAACCTGATCTACTTGCTTGGATGGCTCAGGGGATTGTGTCTGTAAGAAAAGCACATAATGAGAAAGATGCATTCTGCTCATTAGAAGGAATAATTTGCAGGCTTGGAGCTCTCCACTTTGTATAAGCTACCTAAGCATAATGTTCCCCAATTTCTGAGTGATTCATTTTCTAAACAGATTTTAGGATTTTTTTTTTTAGTAACAGCAGTGAGGACTTCGTTTTATTTTCTTGTTCATGGTAAGACATTCTGAAAAATGCTGGCAGGCTTTATTGATTTTACATTACCCGTTTCTCATCACAGTGAGAGGCCATTTAAACGTGTGACTACCAGATGGTATTTCCAAGAACATAAGTCAAGTTGACTTCTGAGTGAGTGTTATCCTTCTACTTTCCTTTCTGGTTTCCATCTGGAAGGACCTCTCAGGTGTTACAAGAGCTCTAGCCACAGACTCTAGTTTCCTAGTCTTGGGCTTGGGGGGTATGTGTACATGACTGAGTCAAGCTCAGAGGACACCACACTGTGACGCTTGGAAATAAGAGGCATCTTTGGGCTAGCATCCCTGGGTCCACTGAGCTAGTCTGATTCCTTCCATTATGCTATGGCAACCTTAGTATTGCCCCTAGTTAGCCCCAAGTCACTTCACAGACCTCAAGTTGATCTTTCAAGTCTGCCCCTTGAGATTTATTTCTTAGGGTTAGGGACCTCTCCACGTGGGCCTTCTACCAAAGACAAAGCCCTCTGTCTAAATAGGATGGGTGGTCACTCTAGCCTCAGAATGAATCCTGTAATGAGCTTTTCCTCTTTTTAAGGAAAGCCCAGAGGAGCCTGTGAAGTCTGACCCCCTGTGAAAGGGAAGAGGGAAAGAACAAAAGAAAGGCTAAGGAAGCCTGTGGACCTGAACAACTTCACAGAGCAAATAACTAGTTTGCCAAACAGATGGATTCCAAACATCCTCCTAATTTGGCTCAAGGAGACAATGACTCATTTGGAAATAAAGAGAATTTGAATGGAGCCTGCAGATAGTTGAATGATAAGTATATTTAGATAAAGGAATGATAAGGATGAGGAAAGGCACTCATGAATGTGCGGCTGCCTCTTCTGGCAAATTCTAAAGATCTCCCTGTCAAGCTGTGATAGAAGGGCTGTATGCTGCTCTTCTGAATCAGAGAATGCAAACAGGCATGATACCACACTCCGAAAGAGAGGGAGTGCATAAAATGGGATGATTTAAAGAGCAGAAGAGCCAGGAGGAGCCTTTTTGTTTCAATATATTGCCTTGCTTTCCTTATTTTATGCAGCTACACTCTCAAGGGTACTAAATATCTTGGAGGCGAACATGTGAAATACCAGATTGCCCTAGTTTGTTTTAAGGAGTAGGGTTGCAGTAAGGCTGTTATGCTACGCCTGCCCTGCCCAATTCAAGATGTGTACCAGATCTAGTGTGTCATTTATTGTCATCCTCTGTACTGACTACCATGAGAACTGTGTAGTGAGCACCAAGCCCCTGGCTTGCATTCTAGTTCTTGATCCAGATGTCCCAGGATCAGTTAACACATTCATGGATATCCCGGGATCAATTGACATATTGATACTCTACTCTCCAGCCCATTGACCCCTGTGGAGCCCAGTTAACTGCACACACAATTCTAAAATTAGAAATTACCTCTGCCTGGGAAAGCAACATTTATACCATTCGAGGCTGGTGCCTCTGTCCTCAGCCGGGCTTGTGCATTTTGGTATCCTGTGTGTGTCAGCATCCATAAAAGGTTACAATATAGAGCCTTCCCATGAAACCAAGTAAACCTTCGCGCAGGGTGAAGAATGAGGTGAATGTGAAGCTCTTTTCCTTAAAGACAGTCTCTTTAAAAAAAGAGATGTGCTTACTTTGCACATAGCCCTACTCTCATGGCCAAGATGATTTTTTTCTATAGTTGACTGAACTAGATTTTTTTTCTATTAGTGCGCTTTCTTCTTTGTCCCAGTTTTTCTCATTCAGGGCAATGCTGGACAACATTCACTGAACCTTTCTTACTGAGGCCAGAACACACCTCTGCTTGGTCTGCTCTTCTTTGCTGTATGTAATCTCAATTAAAATATTTTGGGCCCTGTGTCTCTGGACCAGGAGAAAGTCTATCTTTACTACTGTGTGTTGAGCTAATCAAACTGAAGAATTATAAGGACGCTTACCACATCTGACCTCAATTATAGTGCAAGCTATAATATAACAGGTAAGAAAGGATTGAATTATTTCATCCCTAGCTACAGCAACTTGCATAGCTACTGTTGTCAGGTGTCAAGTCTAGTTGTCAATAATAGCTACATGAGTTTTGAAGGAAGACTGTAAATTCATCTGTATTGTAAAGTCATCTCTACTTGTGTGACTTGAGATAAGTTAACCTCTCCAAGGCTTAGTATACTCATCTACAAGATGGAAATAATTTAGAGACTACCTATGCTGTGATAGTTAATTTTATGTGCCAACTTGACTGAACTACCGGGTGCCCAGACATTTGGTCAAACATTATTCTGGATATGTCTATGAGGGAGTTTTTGGATGACATGAACATTTGAATCAGTAGACTAAGAAGATTGCCCGCCCTAGGGTGGGTGGCCCTCATCAAATCAACTGAAAGCTGAATGGAACCAAAAGGGTAATCTTCCCTCAAGTGAGAGGGAACTCCTCTCACCTGACTTTGTGAACTAAGACATTGGTCTTTGCCTGCCTTTAGATTCATATTGAAACATCAGTTCTTCTTGGATCTCAAGCCTGTTAGCTTTCAGACTAGAACTTACACTATTATTGGCTCTCGTGGTGCTCAAGCCTTTCAGACTCAGGTTAGAATTACACCATCAGCTCTCTTGAGTTTCCAGTTTGCTGATTGCAGATCCTAGGCCTTCTCAGCCTCCATAATTGCATGAGCCAATTCCTCATAATAAATTTCTTTATATGCATTATGTTGGTTCTGTTTCTCTAATACAGATTTTGGTCCTGAGAACATTCTAAAGAAACATAATTTTAAGGATGAGTTTTCTGCTTGGGTTTTGGGGTTTCTGGAATTGGCTCTTTATTCTGATTAGATTCAAAGATGCTAATGACTCTATTTCAAGTAGTAAAGAGAACACTAATAGTCCATGGCATAATCTGGCAATAGGGATATGCAAAATATCACTAT